ATCCTCCTCAGCGCCTTCGCCATGCTCCTTTTCAATGCTGCTGTGGTGGCACTCACAGAAATGGAAGAGAAAGGAGAAGGAGCTGCAGCAAGGGAGGAGGAGGAGGAGGGGAAAGGCGAGGAAAAAGACGACGGCGAAAATAAGAAGAAGACACAGAAAAGAAAAAGATGACGAAGAAAGAAAACGAAGTCACAGAAGAAAAAAAAAAAAAAAACGAAGAGAAAGAAGCATGTTTTATAGTAATTTATACCAATCAAACAATCAAAGTACAAGGTAGTCCTGGACGTTACGCCTTGCCGCGCTGTGTGAACACTGACCGCGCTCAGCCCTTCTGTCCATGACTAATCAAGCTGAGAGGAGGCGGAGGAGGAGGGAGGAGAAGAAGAAAAAGACGACGGCGAAAATAAGAAGAAGACAAAGAGAAGGAAAATATCAAGAAAAAAAAAGGAGAGAAAAGAAAAACAAAAAAAAAACAAGCAGCATGCTGTATACTATTTTCATACACCCTGATGAAAAGGAGCAGGCAGCATTTTGTTTGCTATTTCCATTCATCCACATGACAAGAAGAAGAAGAAGAAGAAGAAGAAGAAGAAGGTTGAATATTATTTTTCTGTTCTCCTGCGCTAGAGGTGGGGTTTTCAAAGTAACCCTTCTTTCAGTGCCCCTGATACAAGTAAAGAGGTCCCAATGTTCTTCGTGGCCCGAGTCTTGAACCATAGGAGGCAAGAACATGACGACTTCTTGCTGGCAAGGGTTAGAACTCAGAGGGGATTCTGTACGTGCCCAGGGGTACAATTTACCTAAATGTGACGGGTCCATTTGCATTGGGAGTTGTGCTTATAGTTTGCTGGGAGTTGGATTGATCTAAACACAATGAAAACAGTATTGCGGTAGGAGTTGTGCTCACTGCATTCTGGTTCCAAATGTGACGGGTCCATTTGCAGTTCCGGAGGGGTACAATTTACCAGTTGCTGGCCCACAAGACAACCCCTGCAAGGAGTTCGGCTGCTGAGGTTTCAGCAGCAAACAGACACAGGATCAAAACTGAACCCTGCCAGCCACCCCATGCACACACACACACACACACACACACACACACACACACACACACACACACACACACACACACACACACA